TTCAGATGTACAAAGAGAATATGCATGGGATTCGTTTCATACATCTAATTTTTTTACTGCGTACGCACACTTACAGCTTTGTGTGTACGCAACGTTTTAGTAACTCAATGCAAGTCTTTGTACATGAGGCCCCTGGCTCTAGACTATTGCTTTAATTTCACAATTTTCATAATTTAATTGCTTTTTTTATAATATACAATTTCTAAATTTGTGTTCTGAAGGTTAGAATCAAGGAAGTGTTAGTTATTATTGACAAACAAGAAGCTGTTGTGATGGCTGTTCAATTGAACTTTGTTCAGTTTTTAATTCTTTGTCCATGTTTGCTGTTTTCATTTTATTGTGATATTATAAAGCCCTTCAGACATTCTGTTGTTGTAGTAAAATGTGCTAACATTATATAAATAAACAAAACAAAAATCTAATGATTAGCAGAGAATTATGTGCACCCAGTTATGCTGAACTTGCAAATTTGTTTTCGCTTTTCTCACTAATTAAACTCCACTAATGCAGTTAATTAAGTTAGCAAACAGACTTTTTACAGAATATTAGTTTAGCGATCAATATGAAGCGAATAATAGCAAACAAATTACATGCTGTGTCTAATCAACACCACAAGTCAGCATGACTAGAATTTAGCTCTGCATGAAGAAAAACAAAAAAGTAATTAATCATCTATTCTGTTCAGTCTTTCACTGAGGTTTGTTGGGGAAAAGGGTACATTATTGCTTATTTCTCATAACACAATGGCCATACAACGATCTGACGCTCATCCTGTGACATTGCAAAGAGAATGTTAGAGTTTTACATGCACCAAGAAGCTTTCTCCACAAAAGGAAGACAAAAAGCTTCTGAGATAGTGATAAACACAAAACAGGAATCGTGTTCTTTAAAGTGTGTTCATATAGAATGAGGCTTTTCGTACACTTTCATTACTATTTCATAAAGGACAGTTTCTATTATGTATAAGCAGGACCTAAAATGTTATTCCAGTCTGACAGTGTTTTATGATTATGCTTGCAAATACAGTACAAAAAGACCTGCATTTCAGTAGTCAAATAGATTACAAATATTAATATTTATTAAAAATTAAGCATCTTGTTTTTCAGATATATACTGATGCACAATATTAATAAAGATTAAAAAAACTACTACACTTTTTACAGCCTTACAGAGTTTTTGCACTGATTATATTTGATATAATTGCCAGTTATTTGCATTCCATTTTGCCTTGTAACAAATAAATGCAAAGGAAATCTGGGAAACAGAGATAAAACATCATAAAAATTCTTTACATCTGACTTTCAAATATTTTGCAGCATGACTCATTCAGCAACGTTATGAATAATAAGGTTAACTTTATCTGTGAATGAGCAGATTATAGTCTTTAATACTGGAATTTGCACTGCAGCCGCTTAGGGAAGTTAACGTAGCCTGCAAATAAATCAAACTCGTTTTGCATCTTTCATTTCTGGTTTCTGAGATCATAAAGCATTTGCAGACTTAGGTCCAAAAATCTGTTTTATTTGAATTTTTTAATAACTAAGCAGTATAGTAAACACATCTTGACTGAGCAGTTTATGACTCACAAATAATTAAATAAAAAATCTCACAAAATATACATTAAAATGCATACAATTTACATAGCCATAGCAATATTTCAGCACATAGAACCTTTACATTGAATTCATTCATATTTATCCATTCAAGTATGGGGCCCATTTAATATATATATTAAATATAATATAAATTTATATATATATATATATATATATATATATATATATATATATATATATATATATATATATGAGCACTACCTGACAAAAGTCTTGTCATCGATCCCAGTTGTAAGAGCAACAACTAATAACTTGACTTCTAGTTGATCATTTGGAAAGGGGACAGAAGGTTTTTTTTTTGTTTGTTTGTTTTTTCTGGTGAATCATCTATTGAACTGCATCCCAATCATCTCACAAATACTGCAGAAAACCTATTGGAACCCACATGCACCCAAGATTCTCAGAGAAATCAGTCAAGTTTGATGAAGGAAAAATCATGGCTTGGGGTTACACTCAGTATGGGGGCATGCAAGAGATCTGCAGTGTGGATGGCAACATCAACAGCCTGAAGTAACAAGACATTTATGCTGCCGTTTATATTACAAACCACAGGAGAGGGCAAACTCTTCAGCAGAATAGTGCTCCATCATTTCACTTTAGCTTTCACATCAAAGTTCCAGAAAGCAAAGAAGGTCAAGGTGCTCTAGGATTGGCCAGCTCAGTCACGAGACATGAACATTATTGAGACTGGGGTAAGATGAAGGAGGGGGCATTGAAGATGAATCTAAATAACTTTCATGAACTCTGGGAGTACTGCAGGAACACTTTCTTTGCCATTACAGATGCCTTTATTAATAAGCTATTTGAGTCATTGCAGAGATGTATGAATGCAGTCCTCCAAGCTCATGTGAGTCATACACAATATTAAATATTTTTCCACTGACTTTATATTCTATACTGTACATTATTTCTGTTAAGTGACAAGACTTTTGTCTAAGCAAAGTCAGACCTTACTGTCCTAATTAGATAATTGAAAATCAAGGCATGATCATATTTTATTTTGGTAAAATAAGCATAATCTAGAGGCTTTTGCCTTTCATATAAGCCACTTCTGATACCAAATGATCAACTAGAAGTCAAGTTATTATTTGTTGTTCCTAAAACTTATATATATAAACGTTACAAGCACAACTGCGATTTCATTATTTGCTGGATTTGGACAACCTTGATTAAAGTGTGATCTCTTGAAATAAAAATGAACTGCTTAATCAAATTCAATTTAAAGTCCTGAAGTAAACAAATCCTTCCTATTCAAGTAGTGTCTAATCAAAATCATTATATCCCAGCTTGATTAAATTTTGGCAATTGATGTTTTTAATTAAAAGATCTTGATTAGCATTTCATTGTCTTTTCATGGTCAGCATTCGTGTCTAAATTGCCTTTAATTCATTATGTAGATGCAGATACATGCTAAACTTGAGGTGAACAGTATCTTTACGTCACTAGTAAAGTACATTTATTAAAAGTTTTGTACTTTTTTTTTTCCTCAGGAAATTTTAGTTTTGATTCACTGCATTCCAAAACAATGTATTGCATTTTATTCTTACATATTTTAGGAGTGTGCATGTGTTCATTGCCTTTGTTTGCTAAGCTATCAAATGGATTTTATTTAGCAAGGCTCGAATGAAAAACTGAAGTATGCTTCAGGCTTAAGCAAAACACTGCAAAATAATGAATGTAAGTAGCAGCTTCTGTAGCACAGTGCTAGAAAACCCTATTCTGTGGATTATCCTCATCCTATTAGTGCTTTTTTTCCTGCATGTGTCCTCAAAGATACAAATAACCAATTCGCTTGAACTTTTCTTGATCTATTTTAAGAACACCGTTCAGGTCAATCCATATGTTTAATTTACTCTTAGAGTGAAATCCCAATAAAGCAGATGGAGAATGGTTAGTGTGCCTGTTTAATCAATCTTTCCGAATTGCATTTAGATCCGGCTTCTGTGGAACAGACATAATCGATTCAAGTGGAGGTAAGTTTGATGTTTTGTTCCACTTCATGGATTACTGTGTTCTGAAGTATGATTATGGTATAATCTGACTTTGCAGGGTGTGGACAGTAAAAATAAAATGAAAGATGCATGGACACCAATCAAATATAAAATCAAACGGTTTCATTCATTCATTCATTCATTTTCTTTTCGGCTTAGTCTCTTTATTACCACCGCCAACTTATCCAGCATATGTTTTACGCAGCGGATGCCCTTCCAGTTGCAACCCATAGCTGGGAAACACTTAAACACTCTTATTCACACACATACTCTACAGACAATTTAGCTTACCCAATTCACCTATACGGTTTAATTCATATTATTAATTATTATTATTATTATTTGACTTATTAAGTTTCTTATTTGAGCTCTTAAACATCCATCAATTTCAAATCCTTTGCATTTTTCTGCAGATTTGATTTAACCCAAGTCAAGTGTCAAGCAAAGTGAGTTAATTTTCAGTGTAATTAAAACACATTGCTTTAGGTCAAAGATTCTGTGTTGTGGGGAATGAAGAGATGTCTTTACAAGGGCAGATTATTGTAATTAGTTATCAGTAGCTACATTTCCATTAAAATCGATGTCATTGTTTCGAGGAAGAGTTAATTAAAATTCATGGAAATGTGACATGACTTGTTGAGCAAGAGAGACCAAAATGTATCATGATGATCAATGCAATGTGTACTTGCAGGTCTACATGAAATTGAGAGAAGGGAAAATAATTCAAAGTGCAAGCATTGAATTTTAACAAAACTCTATCATTTTTACTAAGTAAAAAGTGTATTGATCCCACAATGTCATGTAAAGTTTATTTTTTTGCCGGTTTGGAAACTTATGAAAGGCTTTCGTAAAACATCCTGATAATGCCTAATGACAGTCTCAACATTAAAGGGTAATATTTTCACCTCACAATTTAAACGATTAATCCAAACCATGAGATATAAATACAAAACACTTCAGAGAGAAAAGAGATTTACAGCAGTGCAGTGGTGTTAATATATGCTGGTGTATCTTCAAATGAAACACAGCACACGTTATTGATATTAGTTTGCCATGAAGATCTGAGATAAATCCAGCTGCAGAACCGCAGACCCACGCACATTTCAGCCACACACACAATCTAGCACACACACTCTAGGCAAACCATGGCTGTTTCTCAATATGCGTTCTTCAGGGATCTTGTGTCCTCGTGGAACGTCATTATCATCATCAGCCAAAGTTCAGTTCCAATACTCAAGGCCGCAAGCATGGAGCACGCACGAAACTTCTCGGATGTGTTCAACATTTATTACATAATAAAAAAAATTCATTATATATAACTTGCTATTATTTCCTATATATATATATATATATATATAAACCTGTCCAATTTATATCATTTATATATCTCTGTAAAATGTTTTAACAAGACCAGCAAACGAGTATCTGCTACATTAACTGTGTCAGATAAGTAATAACTGATCATCTATGATGACTGATTTAAAAAAAAAAAGCTGTTCAGTGTATTTTATTGAATGGCAATTGGAAACAATGTTCCCTATCCGCTGGTCTCGATTGCCATATTTGTGAAATAGTGTACACTGTTGTTTATTGGGTACACTATTCATTAACAATATATATAAAAATATACTGATGACAATGTCCGAGAAGACATTAATAAAATGAACATCCGTCATAACCATATATGATTTGCCTAGATTGTGTGTGCTGGATTGTGTGTGCCTGAAACGTGTGTGGGTCTGCGGGTCTGCAGCTGGATATTATTGGAAGATCTTGGCATTCTTATGACCCATATGTGGGACGCTATAGGAGCACTTGCCCTGAGAAAATGATATTCACGTTGAATCCTAATCTATTTATGCAAAAATTAATCTAATCACCACGGTTTACCCTTGAGTATGAGACCTGTCTGTTCTATCGATAGACATTAACCTTCACAGGAAAGAGCTCCTAGATTGAATATACTGTGAATATATTGTCTTCTTCTGTAACATAGAATACGATGTAAATGACATAAATGGTATCCCTATAATACTCTTGTGAAATCAAGATATCTTTACCAAACATTCATTGCCTGTATTAAGTGCACTTTCCATCAGTTAAAGTAGATTTTTCATCGTTTGACTGCATAATAAAGAAAATATGAGCTGAAAATCAAACATTATGCAATAACAGTCCGATATTTTAGACACATCTGATATTTTAAATAAGCAGAAATTGTGCTTTGTTTGATGAGAAATAAAATTAGGGCCGGATATCCACTCCTTTTCAGATTACAATAAGCATAATGTTTTGGGTGGGGACGCAAATTCATTCTTCGGCTCAAGCAATGCTGCAACCGTTGAGAAAAAAAAAAAAGAAACACACATGCAATATTTACAGTAATCAAAACAAACAGTCATCTTTTTGTATTCCCTTCAATAAGCGCTTGTTTTATTTCCAGTTACCAACCCAAACGTGTGTCACCAACCCTTTTCTGAACAGATGCTAAATGCAGACTCCTTGTTTTTGGCCATGGCCGTTGGCGACGGCAGGTGTGCTCTTCCGGATGGAGGTCATGCGGATGGCAGAGGTGCTCTGGAGGTAGCTAGTGTTGCGCTCTTGGTATTTGCGTTGTCTACACAGCAGCTGGTTGTTGAAGTGGCGTCGGAAGCTCTCGCTCAGCAGATACAAGGCAAACGGGTTGACGCAGGAGCTGGAGAAGCTCAGCACGCGTGCCACAAGCGTAATGATGAGGTGTGACAGCGAGGAGTCGATCTGCCGATAGTTGAATGAGCGGTACATGTAGAGAACGTGGTTGGGGAACCAGCACAGGGCAAAGAGGCCCACGAATACCAGAACAATCTTGGCCAGACGCTTCCTCGTTTCCGTCTGAGAAGAGAAAAAAGAGAGAGAGAGAAAGAAAACTCAATAGGTGCATTTTAGTTGAGAAAAAAGTCAATAAACATGCATGCAAGTTCAGGAGCACATACTCTTAAGCAGTGTTTCCCTACTTTGCTCCTGGAGGCACACCAACAGTACATATATTGGATGTGTCCCTTATCTGATTCATTAACTTCAGGTTTTGGAGTCTCTTCTGATGTTCTTATGAGTTGATTTAGGTGTGTTTAATTAGGGAGAGGTTGAAATTGTTTACTGTTGGTTTACCTTCAGAAATAGCTTTGTGAAACACTGCCCTTTAGAATGAGGTTGTACTTGGTAATTGATTGTTGTCAGTTGCTGGAATTAAGTTTAGTTTTTGTAGTTCTTATGTTTTTTTTCTACATGTTTTGGCTGTTTATTTAATTGACAATTGTCTTTTGGGTGCCTCAAAAGTCTAACTTTTAAAAATCTGTCTCAAAGAGCACATTCGTGAGCCTGTACCATGACTTTTTTTATATATACAGTGCTCAACATATACAAACCTCTCATTTAAATCAATATTTTCTATAGGATGCTTTACTATATGTTTGTGCACATACATTAGTTTAGCCATTACTGAAGCCAAATCTGGAGCTCATCTAACGAAATACCTTACAATAGTGGTTTAAAAATGTGTAGCCCAAATTTATATGTTACAGAAAAATATTAAATAACATTTTCAATAATAGCAAAAATCATAAGAAACAAAAATAAATACAATTTTGTTGAAATGTTTTAGTTTGTACTTTTTATGCAATATTTTGCATGAATTTAAATGTATTATCTTTCCATTTTAAAGATGTTCTGTGACTAAAATATTATTTTAATAAATATATCTGTTTAATACGTCTGTTTTGTTCAAATGCACCAACATATATTACCTTGAGAAATGGATAAAAATATTTATTTTCAAAATGGGGTGTACTCATATGCGCTGAGCACTGTGAAGTATTATGTTGCATCGGTATATTTTTGGCAAGAACCAAAAATACATTGTATGGGTCAAAATAATTGGTTTTCTTTCATGCCAAAAATCATTGGAATATTAATTAAGCATGATTAAATGTCCTACTGTTATTATATCAATGCTATTTTTGATAAGTCATAAGCACTTTACTTGGGTCACTTTAAAGGTAATTTTCTCAGTATTTGTTTTCTAACCCTCAGATTCCACATATTTTAAAAGTTGTATCTCTGCTAAAAATTGTCATATCTTAACAGTATAGGTAAGTATAAGTATAGGTAAGTATAAGTATACAAAAAAAAAATCTTATTTATTTGGCATCTGAAGATAAAAATTACACTTAAAAGAGTTTTGGGGTCCAGATTCACTTTTTTATCATTAATATAGTTATTTTTTTCCATGTAAACTACAAAAAAAACTTGATTTTGTGAATAATTGTGATGACCTGCATTGGTATTACTAGAGTTTCTTTACAATGTGCCATTGCCAAATACTGGCCAGGCATCCATAATACAGCATTTTTGGTGTTTTCCTTAAACTTGTGGTTATGTACTACCTACCATTTCATTTCAGCTTAAATGGATAGTTCATTTAAAATTGAAAATCATCTCTCTATTTATTCACCCTCATGTGGTTTTAAATCTTTATAAGTTTCTTTTTTTATGTGTGTGTAAAACACAAAAGAAGAGTTTTTGATCATTGCTGGTTGTTGGTACCTGTCAACTTACATAGGAGGAGAAAAAATACTATGGAAGTCAGTGGGTCTCAGAAACAATCAGATTCAGAACTATTTTGTGTTCAACTCAAATAGGTTTTGCACAAGTGAAGGCGGAGTAAATGATTTGACAGTATTTTCTTTTTTGGGTATATCATCCATTTAAACCACCACAGTCAAATTATGTTTCATATATATTAAAAAGGCACCTATTGAAAATAATATTAAGTATTTTTGTAGTATTATAAATGACTTTATTTTTGGTTTTGATCAATTATATGCATCCTTGATAAATAGAAGTATTATAGTAGAAATTGTGAAGTTTGTTTTCTCAAATCCTAAATCAATAAAAACGAAATCCTAAAAACTCTTTGTCATCAGAGTAACAAATAACATTTTAAAAAATATATTTACAAAAAAAAGGTGCTTGTTTTGAATTGTTAAAAATAGTTCACAATATTGCTGTTTCAAAGTTATCTTTGGTTCTTTGGATTTGCCAGTCATTGGTAAGTAGTTTCAGTAAATGTATTTTATTTTAAGCATTTATTTGCAATAAAAATGACAGTTATGAATAAAAGACTTCTTTAAACAGCATTTAATAATATGAACTTGTGCCCGCAAGTGTATTTACTTTAAATATATCTTATGTATTCAACAGAAAAAAAAAAATCACAAAGACTGGAATGACGTGAGGGTGAGGAATTACTGAAATGTATTTCTTGTTATTTTTAAATCAGACGGTTCCTGAGATCTTTGCCATGATGTCAGTAAATAACATTGTAGTAGATATTTTTCAGGACACTTCTATACAGCTTAATGTGACATTTAGCTTAATTAGCTTATTAGGGTCTAATATTTTTGTCATTAAAATGTTTTTTTTTTTTTTATATATAAAAACTGCTTTTATTCTAGCCAAAATAAAACAAATAAGACTTTCTCCAGAAGAATAAATATTATCAGACATACTGTGAAAATTTCCTTGCTCTGTTAAAGATCATTTTGGAAATATTTTAAAAAGAAAAAAATTTGAAGGAGGCTAATAATTCTCACTTCAACTGTATGTACAGTGCAACACAAAATATGTGTCTAATACTGTTCAGAGAAAGGAATGATAGATGGATGAGCAAAACCATGTTATTTAGTCTCATAAAATGCATAATTACTCATAACCAAGGGAGATAAGACCTGCTGTAATCTTCAACCAGGATGATATACTGTGTTATCAAGGGCAAGAGGGAGCAGAGGATGTTTGCTGCCTTGAAACAGCTGCTAAAAGAGAATATTAACAAGAATATCTGTCATCCTTAAGGACCCCTGGCACAATGGTTAACTGATGATTCACAGCCTAGTGAAAGATTAAGTATCCTGTCTCTAAAAATCTATCAAGGGAGCATTTCATGAATGGTGTTCCTCAGTTCAGCAGAGTCTCATTTGATGCTTTCTCTTTAAATGTTTACAGTTTGGCTCTCTGAGAAAGATTCTGGTCTTAGATCAGTGTTAAAGGGCCATAACATTTAGAACAGCTGTTACTGCTAATTGAAATTTTAATAGTAAATGATGAGTTAGGGTTCTGTTTTGTTCTGAAGTATGAAGGCCTATCTTCAGTTCCTGAGTTTCAGTGGAATCATGAAAAGGATACAATACAATACTTCCTGTGGTATTTCATAGCCTACGTCCACTTTTAAAGGGGTAGGTTCACCCAAAAATGTCAACTTTAGCCATGATTTGCTCACATTTTTTAAACAAAAATTAAGATATTTTGAAGAAAATTGCAAAGTAGCAGCCATTGACTTCCATATATATATTTTTTTTTTGTTCCAGTGCTATAGATGTCAATGGAAACTTGTTTTGTGAAAAAGGAAATACATACAAGTTTAGAATAATGGTGGATGGATGAGTAGATCCCTCCCCAAAAAATGTGTAAAGCGCTTTGAGTACCCAGAAAAGTGCTATGTAAATGTAAAGAATTTTCATTATTATTATAAAGCAATTTAAGTATATTGGGTGTAAATTTTCAAATATTATTATTCATTGCTTTACACTGTAAAAAGCAATTATATAACTTTGAAGTGAGTAAACCTCATTCTTTGATTTATTTTCTACACAGCAGAATGAACCGCCAACTATTCCGGCATATGTTTTACACAGTGAATGCCCTTCCAGCCACAACCCAATATTGGGAAACACCCATACACTCTCATTCATACGTGCTAGCCACTGAGCCACCATACCGCCATGAATAAACCTGCTGCCCTAAAATATTAAAGAGGCCCTATTATGGGTTTTTGAAAATGACCTTCCATGTAGTGTGTAGCACAGCTCTAAATGAAGTGAGTTATCCAGCTAAGGCTTAAATCTGAAAGTGTGCCGTGTTTAAAACTTTTGATTAATCTACAAAAGACGACTCATCATGTTTCAAATTAATTGTCTTGATAATGAGTCTTTAGCCATTCCGGCGTGATGTGGATAGAGAACTTAAGCCCTGCCCATTTGTTGTGCGCACAAACCCCTGGCCTCGCCCACAAACACAGTAGCAATGAAGAAGAACTCTGTAGCATTACTGGAATTTTCCGGGAGAAATAACAAAACGGGAGGGTGTCGGGAGATGGGTCTGAAATATGGGAGACTTTCGGTAAAAAGGAGAGTGTTGGCAGGTATGCTCACACATACACTCTGCACTCACTACTTCAATATTGTTGATAAGCTGTGGTGGGCATTTCTCTCCATCTTGCACTAAATGCACTTAACCAATTGCAACAGACTTCAGTCCAAACAGCGCAGACAATTTTGAACTTTTTGATTTAGTGGCCAATTCGGATGAATTCATACGATATAATTCGTACAATTTAGTACGATTTGCTCATCCCCCAATGATGGTTGGGTCAAGGGATGGGGTTAGGAGCCACGCCTCCTTTTTAAATTAGTAAAATTTCGTATGACTGAACTCGAATCGTACAAATTAGCCACTAAACTGGCAAAAGGTAAAATGCTTACGTTTTCTAGTGAGATCAGGCTGTTTCTACTGGATAAATAGACGGACAGACTGTCTCCAAAATCTGCACTCAGTACAATTGCTCACTATACACACTATAAACATTATCTGGAAACCAGAGCCAAAGTATACAATCGTGTCCATTCAAAATCATTAATGTTAATAGCAGCACCTTAATGTTCACAATTATCTACCTTTAACGAGACTAAGTTTAGGATTATGAGAGGAACTTTAGGAAGTTTCCATTTAAAAGGCTGAAACAACTATTTTTATCTAATAATCTTGCTTTACAACAAAATTTATATGCGTTAGTTTGACTGAATGAGGTGTGAGAGAACAATGCTATCTTTTGTCCAACATTTGTAGCTTTTGTCAGAGCTCTTTTCCCTGCTGATTATTTCAGTGTTAATTTTCCACTGTAACAACATTAAAAAGACAACATATGCTTTTTATTTGCTGAATGATATCCTGCTATAATGTAGTTTAATGTACCTCAGTCTCCATTTCTCTTTCCAGGTTTGTTTTTTACACTAATGCTTTAAAATGTTTACTGTGTGAAACATTTCCAATGACAGAAATACCAGAGTAACACTTTTCTTTATTACAACAACTTACACTCTCTGACAAAAGTCTTGTTTCTCATCCATGTTTTAGGAACAACAAATAATAACTTGACTTCTAGTTGATCATTTGGTAACAGAAGTGGCTTATGTGAAAGGCAAAGGCCTCTAGATTACTCTTATATTACCAAAATAAAATATGATCATGCCTTGATTTTTTTCATTATTTAATTAGGACAGTAAGGTCTGACTTTGCCTAGACAATAGTCTTGTCACTTAACAGAAAGAATGTACAGTATAGAATATAAAGTCATGGTGCAGTGGAAAAAGAATTAATAATGTATATGACTCCTATAAGCTTGGAGGACTGCATCTATACATCTCTGCAATGACTCAAATAACTTATAATAAAGTCATCTGGAATGGCAAAGAAAGAAATCTTGCAGGACTTGCAGGAGTTTTGTCAGATAGTATGTTACATAATATATTCCTACAGTTGCAATCAAAATAATTAGCTCTCCTGAAATGTATTTTCTAAAAATCTAAAAAACATGCCATTTCTAAAAAGTGCCATTTAATGTAGAGAAGATTTTTTTCCAACACATTTTTAAACCCATTTTGTGTTCTAATCATTTCTTTTTCATGATGCCAATATTTTAGTAGTTATTTTGCAAGAACCTAGTATTCAGATGAATGTGCAATAAAAAGCTCAACTAGGTTCATTTGGTTTACTAGGAAATTTAAGCTTAAAGGGCCATGAAACCCCCTCGTTTCAGCAGGGTGTTTTCACACCTCTACTTTGGAAAAAGTCAGAAAAGTGGGCGTGTCCAGCTCTGTTTAGGGGGGAGTGTTGGAGGAACTAAAGTGGGAGGGTGTGGGAGTGTCTATTTAGGCGCGCGAGTTTCAGAGTCAAAATACACACACAGGAGAAAGTGATGGTGTTTAACCTACATGGACATCTGTAGTCGAATTATTTGCCAAATTATTAAATGTTGGACTTTAACTGCAGTTTGGCTCTTTGATTCAGGGAATTCATTCATTCCCCTCGCGACAAACAAGATATTTGATTCGAGGATCTGCTCTAAGCGTGTATTTTAAATGCAATGTTTGATACCGCACGGCGAATGAGAGAAAAAAACCCTCCGTATTTCCCGGAAACTTAGATGCACACGGCAGGTAGTGTCAGAAAGCCACGTGTGTTATTCCGGTCACAAAATACGGTAAAAACCCTACACAAGTTTAAAGTTTGGTTGTGGTGCTAACATGTTTACACTCGGTGCAATAGTTAACTTAGTTCGATACGAACAAACTGAATAAACAAAGAGCACTGGTCGCTCACTTACCAAATCTGTAGAGACAGGACAATCACCAGCAACTAGAGCCGCATCTTTATGAAGAGAATACTACAAGCGAATCCTGATCTCAGCGTTTGCAGATGAGAACAGCTCTCAGGTAAACAATAATCCTCCTTAGACACGTAAGTTATTGTTGTCGAGCGTCGCGTACACTGCTAATCCACACGTGACTCCAGATGAGCTCTCACAGAGAGAAAATGAAAACAAAACTTAACGGCAGCAAACTATAAAAGCAACACTTCACGCTTGTTTTGCCAACACAATGTGGCGTCTCTGTCCTGTAAACACTGTGACACTAATGAATATTAATGAAGTTGCACAATAGAGCGCTCTGATTGGTTTGAACCAAGCCTTACTCATGCATTAATGCATCACACTGTAAGACGTAATAAGACACACTCTGGCACAGACGCCCAGTTTGCATGCTGGAATACAGGCTATTATGTCATGACCGTGACGCAGCTTCAAAAATTCGTTTCAAACCGGAAGTACGAATTTGCTTGAAATAACGCAAAAACAACCAATTTACACTTTTTAGTGAAATATAGGTGTCCTAATAGTGTTTTTAGCACACTGAAAAAAGTGTTGCATGCAGAACTGTTGCAAACAATTTATTTGTGTTGAATTTAAACAATCAAATTAAATTGAATAATGTTCAACTTAATTTGTTTGTTTAAATTCAACGCAATTAAATTGTTTACAACCACTTAACGTAAAAAAATTGAGTAAATCCAAGGAATTATCTTTGAATAATTTTTTTCAGTGCAGTGTGGGACACATATACGACTGTCAACAGCTCAAAAAATGTGTTTTGGTGTTTCGTGAGGCAAGTCAATGGACAATATTGCTTTGTTCTGTCCTGTTTAGTGTGGTAAACTGTGGTAGCATCTTTTATTTAGGCAGAATCATTTAAAGGGTCAATTACTTTATTGATTTAGGCACTGAAACCAAAAAGTATTGGCTCGTTCTCTCTGCGTTCGCTTGACTTTTGTCCACTCCGGCGGCTCATAGTAGACACGTTGGACGCTGTCGAAACAAAACAATCTACCATGCTTTGATTGGATGTCGTGCCGAATGCGCGCATGCTTTCTGTCACACAGACACGCACACATAAACAGAGAGAGAGAGAGAGGGAGCGGTCCATGTCAACATACTTGGGCTTTTTCATGAGTCACGAGTCATTTATGTTCAAGTCCAAGTTGAGTTGCAGGTCTTTTTACATTTTGTCAAGTTGAGTCTAAAGTCATCAAATTCATGACTCGAGTCTAAGTCACATGACTCGAGTCCACACCTCTGGCGTGAACTAAGCTGTTGAATGGTCAGCGTATGAGGCGGCTAGGCCAACCTAGCTTTAAGTTTGATTAAATTATTTGCTAATCAGTTGCACATTATGTCGTGAATCTACCCCTGTAATGCATACTGCAGTCCTTTTTTGTCTGGCTTTCTTGAATATCTCACCTGTTAGCCAAAAATGACTAATTATTTCCCTGGGAATGTCTGACACCAGCACATACATATTGTATTAGACGTGCCAGGCACGGAAGCTTGACAGGTGTAACAACAGTAACTAAGGATGGCGGGGCTTATCGAAGGGTCAATTGGAACCTGTTATCTTATATATATATATATATATATATATATATATATATATATATATGTATATATATATATATATATATATATATATATGTGTGTGTGTGTGTGTGTGTGTGTAAATCCGTTTTTTTAGTGTATATGGCTGCAGTAATGATCAAGATTGTCAAGGTTAATTATGATATACTTGAAAGTAATTTGTCACTTCATTGCACCTAGTTTTTTAAATGCTTATTGCACTAAAATAACACACAATCTTTTACAGTTTAACAGAAGCTACTCCCACAATTGACATACAGCATCATGAAGCGTAGAAAAAGAAGTGGATATCGTGATCCTTCCCATGATAGAAGGAAAATACACAACCGCCCGTGAAGAATTTGTTTTGACAAACACAGAAGATTGGCATTCATGCATGCAGTATAAGCTTTACGCTCATCCCCTGGAAGCTCTTACCTGTCTTTTTGAGTGCTCGCTAATCTCACCTGGCATATCGTGAGCACTCTTGATAAGTGTCCTGGCGATGTGGTAGTAGTAAACAGATATAATGCTCAGAGGGATGAGGAAGTAGACCAGGAATATCATAATGGAGTGAATCTTAGGATGCATCTCGTTGGACAGCGGATATGGCACGCAGGCAGTGAACGTCGTGTTCTTGTCTGGCATATGAACCACCTGTGAGAAAACCGCCTCAGGGATGGCCAGCAGCACCGAAACCACCCATATAGTGATAGCCTTCAAGCAGGTCCAGAACACCGCGCTGGACGACTGGATGTCCATGGGATTCACAATAGCTTTGTGTCTAAGAGAAACACATGTGAAGAATTATCAGCACACAGATTGCAATGCCTTTTATCCGAAGTGAGGATGGATGAAAGAGAAAATTGCCTTGTTTATCATCAATTTATCATCGCTTTGGGGGGAAAACGCTGTGGGTTCTTATCTGAAGTCAGATTTGATTCTGCGCTAACTGAGGTTTATGGATTGTTCACACCGGGACGCGTGCTTGTTTATACTAGATTTGTTATTAATGAAACAACAGTTTCGAGATTAGGCGTTTCATCTGTAACATCTCCATTTTTATTCAGCTTCACTGCACAACTGTTGCATGATAATAAAACTGCAGCTGTATTTTGTCATGCAGAGATACATCCTAATACATTTTATACAGGTTATATATGTGTATATATACTGCTAATTTAATTTCATATATTATTATTATTATTATTATTGTTATTATTATTATTATGACTCTCTGTGGTTGTTAAAAGTCCTTTAAAACAGAGTAAAACCCCGGCATTTTGGGCAAATTTGCCCCCTGCATGGCCTCTGTCAATCATGGCCTCCTAACCATTCCCATATCATAATTGGCTTCATCACTCTGTCTCCTCTCCACCAATCAGCTGGGGCCTCGTGTATCAACGCTTCGTACGCACAAAAACTTTGCATTTCCATTTAATAAATGTGCAAATAATATGTGATGCTCAAATGCACTTAACATAATACACACACTTATTAATGATTCCTACTTGTCTTCCTCGTGATGAAGAGTAGGCTAAATCTGATATGTAATTGGGAACAAAGAAGAATAAGTTCATTAGACGTTAGTTTCGAACCGGGTTCATGATCAAACGTGTCAAAACATGTTACCTTGCGCTTTACGAGCTACGCCACTCATGCTGCTGGTTGCAGCTCTCTTTATTTATGTTGTCTCTGTCAATCCAACGGTGATGGGTGGGAATCATTCAGCTAGCTTATTCCAACGAGTTGTGCTATTTGCACTTAGCCTAAATAGACACTACAAAATTTTACACCTTTACATCGGACAATTTTTTTTTTATTCACTCACAGTACGATTTTCAGACCCTACTGCTTTAACCACGTCAGCTAAACTCTCGCACTCAATTTTTATTTCTTTTGCTAATAATTCTAGAGAACAAACTTGCAAATAACACAGTTTTTCTCTGGCCTACCTCCGAAAGGAGCACCTCCAATTCACATTCTGTTCAAAGTTTCTCTTTTTGCTTGCTTTTGCCAATACTTTTTAGTTTGGTTTTGCCAAAATAGAGTCATTATCATATTTATTAGGGAAGGAGGCAGGGAGGGGTTTTGCGCTCGTGCACGTGCACTCAGTCTCATGTTAAGTTGGATATGCAAAGAGAATATCCTGCCTACTGAATATTTTTTTACTGCCTACGCACACTTACAGCTTTGTGCACACACAATGTTTTAGTATGAATTCAACGCAAGTCTTCGTACATGAGGCCCCTGGTTTTTGGTGTGCGGTCTGGTGCGATTTGGTTGCCATTGTGTCATCCAGGTGGATGTTGCACACTGGTGGTGGATATGGAGATTCTCCAAAAAATGTGTAAAGCCTTTTGAATGTCCAGAAAAGCACTATATGAATGTAAGGAATTATTATTATTATTATTATTATTATTATTATTATTATTATTATTTATTCATTCATTTTCTTTTTAGCTCAGTATGAAAACACTCTTACATTTACAAAAAATACGCTATGGCCAATTTAGCATATTAAATTAACCTATAGCGCATGTCTTTGGACTGTGGGGGAAACCGAAACACCCGGAGGAAACCCACACGAACATGGGGAGAACATGCACACAGAAACGTCAAATGACCAAGCTGGGACTCAAACCAGCAACCTTCTTGCTGTGAGGCAATCATGCTACCCACTGCGGCATCATGATTGTTATTGTTATTATTTTTGTGTTTATTTTATTTTATTTTATTTTATTTTTTCTAAGAGGGAAAAAAAGACAGCTGACTGTGGTTACCATAGACTGTAAAATATATGGACGTAGTATCCGTGACGTCACCCATAGGTTTCTAAAGAGCGCAAAAGAAGCCACAAGTAGGCGCGGCCAACCGTCGCCATTTTGTTCGCGCGTCATCACACACACACGGCGGGATACCAAACAAGGGCAAAGAGGCGGAGAGTGAGCGGAGCTACAGACACCTGCTAGCATTTAGCTTGGACCTGGTTCAGACACACTTTGCTTTGGGAGAACGCTTAATACTTTATCACCTGTGACTCGTTTGTATTCTGACCACTTGTGCTTGGTTGTACACTATATCAATAAAGTGTTTTGAGCCACTAAACATTGTTCTTATGACGTTTTTCAACAGGAGGAAAATGCGAATTACTCCCAAACACTTCAGATATAGTCTGTGTTAGTTAATGTAAGACTATTGATGAAATCCAGCATAACACTGTATGACAACGCTTCAGATGACTGTTCTGGAGCCTACAGCTAATCAATTTGTCAGATTCTAAAGTGCATTACAGCTCTAAATATAAATTTAAACGATAAATGATCTTAAATAAAACAAATACATGTATAGAGATGGTATATAAGTATATAACTTTACTCACATGGGAAACGGAGGCCACGTGAATGGTTTGTGAGCTCAATTAAGTGCTCTCAGCATGCCATGCCATCCAGTAATTGTAGGAAACAAGTCCAAAAGGCAGTTGACTGTGTAAAGCCACATAAAACAACACAGAAATACGATAAATATGCCGAGTTCAGTGGCTAATCTGCCGGATTCAGCTGAGGTGACGTGACGGCGACCAACTAGACCTAGCTGTCACTCAAGTGGCCACTCCCTTAATTATGCAAACTTAATATAACTTAATACAAAGGAAACGGATGAGTTATAAAAAAATTCACCCCCCTCACAGTTGTCATGAAGGGTAATATTAGCTGTTTTAACCAAAATCTTTTTTTGTACCAGGCTGTAAACACCTTTTTTTCTGCTGTAAAGTTAGCCATTCTAACAGTGGGCTCAATTGAAATTTGCTCTGTTTTGGAGCCAGGGGCGGCCAGGACTAGCGGAATTTCGGATGAATTGCAGTTTCAGTTACTTCCGTATTGGCTTCCTGAGAGAGAGCGGGAGGTTGCCGCTTGGTGGTTACACTGTCAAAAATAAAGGTACAATATTTTTTTTTAAAAGTACAGTTTTGTTCCTTACAGCTTCTTAAAGGTACATATTAATACCTAAAAAGTACAATGTGCCTTACAGAACCTTAAAAGTACAGAAGTGTACTCTGAAGGTACTAATGTCCACCTCAATGGTACAAAAGTTGACGTTTTGAAAAGGTGGTGTCACAATGACAGATTTTGTATCTTTATTTTTGAATTTCTATGACATAGTTTGACATTTTTAGAAGGTGTATATTGTTACAATTTTTGTGCTGGACTATAGCTTTATGCTCCAAAATTACATATTCTGATATCTTATGTAAACTTCTGTTTTTAAGTGCTACATTTATATATATATATATATATATATATATAAATGTATATGCTATATACTACAATTATCTACATTATTGAAATTGTTGTTAGATATATATTATTAAAACAGCCCTTTTTAATTTTATTTTATTCATATTTAATTGATCATCATCAATATTATTATTTATTAAATATTGCTTTAATGAAGTAACTTATTCATTCATTTTCGTTTTGGCTTAGTCTCTTTACTAATCTGGGGTTGACACAGCGGAATACACCGCCAACTTATCCAGCATATGTTCTACACAGTGGATGCCCTTCTGCAACACATCACTGGGAAACATCTATACACTTCCATGGGTTTGTCCATGGGAATAAAAACCTGCATATATAGCTAGCAACAACTATACAAGCCAGGAAAAAATACATACAAAGTTAAAAAAAGAACAATAAAAAGGAAAAGAACTTTGGGGTGAGAAGTAACCTTTATAGGGTGACACAGTGGCTCAGTGTTTGCACTGTCGCCTCAAAGCCAGAAGGTCGCTGGTTTGAGTCTCGGCTGGGTCAGTTGGGATTTCTTTGTGGAGTTTGCATGTTCTCCCCGTGTTTACATGCATGGGTTTCCTCTGGGTGCTCCAGTGTCCCTCACAGTCCAAAAGCATTCAATGTAGGTGAATTATACAAATTAAATTGGCTGTAGTGTTTGTGTGTGAATGAGTGTGCATGGATGTTTCCCAGTACTGAGTTGCAGCTGGAAGGGCATTCCGCTGTGGCAACTCCTGATGAACAGAAAATGAATAAATGAACATAAGGCGGATTTTTGTCTCAACTATACCCATATAGAGTGCAGTTAAAACAGAATAATTTGAATCTAAATACACACTAGTAAGTGAGTCACAGTTAATTATGACTAAGCTGATGGAAAATGAATCAATGAATCAATCAATCAATGAGTCATTGAATGAATCAATCAATGAATACACTTTAGTTTATCTAGTTATTTTTAAGACATTTTTTCAATGAATTCAGACTATACTTTGATTGTTTGGGATTTCACTCTGTTAATTCTTGCTGTAGTAGAACGTTCCAACAATGCAATATTTTAGTTAGCTATTTTGTCCGCTGTTAATGTGGCTTCATGCTAAATTTAAAAATAACCTTCTTGGCTGCAGTTAGTGCAGTATGAAGTACTAAGTCAAGTTTAAGTTAAGATCATAATCACCATTCAATAAACAAATATTAGTGTATTTAGGAATAAAATTACAAAATTCTGAGATAGTTTAAAAAGACCTTATAAACAGTTTATTGGATTTTCAGCTGTTAACACTGCAAATTTCACAAATTCAGTTGATTTTCCCCTTAATATTTAATTAACTCTGCCAGTCTCATTCATTCATTTCAAATAAAAGATTACAGATACATTACAAGATATCGCAATACAACATTTCCTACTACTCTTAAACCTAAAATCCTTTCCAAAGGGAAACATCTGTGCTAAGTCTAAAACTACATGATCAAAGTCATAAATGATTCATCT